GGTGGTGGTGGTGGTGGTGGTGGTGGTAATTCTGGCTTAGTCCGGCCAAGAATACCAGATATACTATTGGACCACGGAACCATCGTGCTGTCGGTTGCGATTAGCGAGATTCTTAGCGAGCTGCCTAAGTATTATATATGGTATGTGTCCTTTGACACAGCGTCCGTTGTCACCAGTAGCAAGCTGGCGGACGAACAGAATGTGATCGAGTGCGATCCTAACCACAACAGTGAGTGCCAAACGCCTACTTGACATGCATATATATATATATGCAGAATGTTATTACCGACCAAGACAAGGGAGACTGGAATGGCCATTTCTGGCTTCTTAGCCGTCTTCAGCCAGTCAAATCCAACCCCGAAATGTTGAACCCCTGGGGTTTGAACTCGCGACCTGTTAGCTAGAAGTCCAACGCCTCTAACCACCGAGTCACGGGCTTGTTGTCCTGTCGGTTTCGATCGGGAATATATACATATATATGCATAAGCATATTCCCTATTAAATGTATTGTAAAGATGGACAACCCAAGATATTCACTTAAAAACGTGTCATATTCTTTGAAAAAGGAAAAACATCACTTGTTGGAGCTCTCGAGACTGGTCCCCAACCCGTCGTCAGACTTATAAACAAGCTTTGGAGCTAGACAATCGTCTCAGTCATGCATAGCAGCGATAATGCAGATACCTTTTTTACCAACGCATCCTTGCAGCCGCCGACCCGTGCGGATTCCTCACACCAGCTCGTGGGTCTCTGGTCAACACAAGGGTTCCCACTCTCATTGGTGCTGCGGAGGCGGTGGGTGTTCAGAAGCTGCTGCAGTTGATCCCTCTGGCTTGGCTGACAGACCACTGACAACTGACGAGTTCGCTGCTGACATTTTCCATCGGTGCCGTGCACGTGGCTGATCAGTGTTGCCTTGCGCGTGCAGTGCATGCGTCCGGATTTCGGCTCAGAACCCGTCAAGATCTCCTCCGCGAAGGGATAGCTGGACTTCATCTGTTCGCACTCACATGCTGATGTGTACTGCAGTTTGGGCAGTTCACAGTCTGAAAGGGCATGAACAAGTCAGCGTCACTGGCATGTGTGTGCGGGCGCGAATCAGTGGCAAGACGCTCACCTTCTAGACAGACTCTTCTGAAGAGCAGACATCGAGCAGCTTCATGCGCCTTCAGCGCCTCGTGCGTCGCTCCGACAGGAACCAGCTCCGGAAGCGTCCTTCTGCGCAGGGTGCGAAGGTCGACACGATTCAGCACGCAACTGCCCGGCAGCACCTTTGGTTGTTTGAAGTCGTCCTCGCTGTTGGCACTCGGCACGTAGAAGTCAAAGCTCAGGCAATGCGGCTCGGCGGCACAGACACGCCTGCATTCCGCAAATCCGACCTCCTTCAGCTGACGAATGAAGTAGCGCCGGTCCAGACGACGGTCTGTCAACAGACAGGCATTTGCGCCCTCCTCCGCGTGAACAATCTCAAAGTCTGTTCGGTTCAGTGGGCAGTCTGGAAATCAAATGAAGCAAGTCAGTAGAAAGCTGCAGTTGAAAAGTTCGTTGAACATCGGGGACTCCTGAGCCACGACCATCTGCATTCAGAACAGCCGGAGCGTTGAACACTTCACAGTCGCCAATCTACGACCTGCGGGAATACGAACCCAGGTACTTGCAGCAACCATTCATAATTGGACTGTTTTAAAGTTGTGACTGGTATTGCCTCCCCCAGCATATTCCTACACCCTACCGGTGTTTTGTGGCGAAACTTTGATCGCTTTCTCTACTCACGGACATGTTTTTACTTCTACCCCGTTCCCATTTAACTGTACTGGCCTGACGAGGATTTATCGAAAGCAAACGTACACTCGCCAACTGGTAAATGGTCTGCTAAGCTTTGTCAGCCAGTGCACCTGAGCCCACCTCCGGTCATTCTGGCATTGTCTTGCCAACAGCGGAAGGAGGGAGTGAGGTAGATGCTAAGCAAGTGTTCTCACTATAAACTAACCGCACTAAATTGACCTATTCACCAACACTGTGGGATAATCGTTGTAAAACATCCTTTGCGACGGTCCGACTGTCATGTCACTTATTCAATGGAACTTGCTACTGGATATTTTAATTTAACAGCCTGAAAAACGGACCTTGCCCTGGAAATACCGACCAATCTTTTTTTCTCTGATTTCGGGCGTGAATAAACGTGTGCCCCAAGTTTCGCCCGACACACCGCCATGTCAGCAAAGACGTGTGGAAGTGGGGACAGCTGATATTTTGGGCTTAATCGAGGAAACCAGCCTTCACAGTGGTTAAGCGAAGAAAAAACATACCTCGAAACCCGATTATTTGTTGGCTCGGATGGGACTCTCTGACTGCTTGAATTCACATTCAGCGGAAATGACCAACTAGCGGTACACTGTGGTAGTGGCGAGACGCGAAAGACATGTTACGTCGGCTACTAGGTCAATGTTTGGTTTCAGCCATCTTGGCTCTCTTGATGGCATTAGAGTTCTGCAGAATGAAGATGTTTGTGTGGGATTCGAAAAATACATACAAGAGGCTAATAAACGCGGGCTGCACTATTAAATCTACTATAATAAATTTGACGTGCTTGAACCTATCAAGATGCATTAGCAGTCGTGGCCCCGAAGACTGCTAACTGATGAAGTAATTCGTCAGGCGGCAAACGGCTCCTTCGCGACGTGAACCTTTCTGGCAGTTTGTCCGTGAGCGACGTGGGAACCAGGCCGTGTGTGGCATGCGTAAACGGGCCGCTTAGCTATGTCAGTCACTGGGTCTTCATTTACCTCCAGTTTTTTTTGGCTATAGCTTGCAATCGTGGGTAGGAGAGAAGGGAGTGCGGTAGATACAGCACAAGTCCGCCCCACTGCAAACTAATTCATGCGCAAGTCGGCTCTGCTCGGCCAACCTCGTAAAGAAGTTGTAATCGACGTCGATTGTAACATTCGACCTGTCATGTCACCATAAAGACGGTCAAGCAACAATGCAGTACGTACTCCGGAGGATGAGGAGGAGGGGGAGAAGAAGAAGAAGAAGAAGACTTACCCTGACACGTTCTGCAGGTTTGGCGACATAGATGGTCACGGATTTGACCAGGCTTGTCACAACTCGAGTGCGGCTTTCTCTCCAGCTGAAGACACTTCTCTGACGGCAGAATGTCCGCACACTGGACAAAGTTCAGGGATTCTGGCACTGAAGGGAGGACCGGAGGTGGTGAAATGGACGGTTGACTGTGGATAGTCTGAGTTATCGGTCGCTTTGTCGTCTCTTCCCGGCTGCGGGACCGCTGCGGCAGTCGACCTTTGGGCAGATCGTTGAAGAGCAGGAGACCCGGCCTCCGCGCCCTTCCCGATGACGGCCTTTGGACCCGCCCCAGTGGAGACGGCACTGCAGGCACTTTTAATCCCTTGAAGAGCATTTCTGGCAGATGACCCAGGAGCGACTGCTGATGTCCTTGAGGGACCTTCTTGGCTCCTGAGAGCAGTTGAGGCATGGGTCCTGCGAGTCCAGCTGGCGGCGCAAGCATGCCTGTTTTGGGCAGTACTGCAGGGCCCGCACCCAGCAATTTCTGCGCATCGCCGGGCCAAGCCTTGACGTTGGACAGACCCAGTTCTTGTAACCTCTGTGTAAGCGCTTCCATGGATCTTCGCCACTGGCCATCCATGAGTCTGGAGGGCAAACGATCGGTGTTATTTCCGTCGTAGGGATGACGCAGTCTAGGCAGCAGGGGTTCGCCTCCGTCCGTTCGTTCGCCGGCCCGGTTGAATTGCATGCACTTGAGGGGTCGTCGGAATCGCGATGTTTCGCACTTGCAGTCCCGCAAAGTTACCAGCTCTATTGTCACCCAGAGAGTTCCGTTCACACAGTTGGTGTAACGGGCTCTCGGCGGTGGACATTCTGATGGAGGGAAAGAGAAAACAGGCCTTGATTAAAAACACGAATTCCTAGATTTTAAGGGAACACGCGGTCTACTCGCCAGATCTCAGATTACAAGCAGAAAGGAACTCGCGAGATTTGTACATGCATGCCTCAATTAAAACAAGGAAGATTTCTGTTCCCATGTACTCATTACCAGTTCGGAGCGTTTGATTGATGGCATGAAAGAACCAGGCAGGACAGTGATCGATTAGCGGACTATTCAGTTGTGCAAGACTTGGCGGCATCAGAGGGATCCGAACCCATGACACCAAGGACACGGCTGGATTACAGTCAACACTCAAATCACTTGTGCCATGAGGACCCACCCAACCTACCGTAGTCTATGGAATTTGTCAGTTTTAATACAGCAAGCTTACTGTCTAGCCAGGGTTTCCTAACTAATCGGTATAAAATCCTTAAAATGAATACCTGGCAAGTCAAGTGAGTAAGTTAGCTCAAACTCAAGGCTTCCGGTCAGGGCCTCGAAGCTCAGGTGGCTAGAGTGTTGGCTGTCTTTGAGACCTGCCCCTGCGGTTGCGCGTTCGAATCCCAGAGGGCCGCCGTGTTTTTCCCCACCGAGTATACAGTAATAAAAATCTGTCAAAACCACCCGCCCCCACGTTTTACGTTACAAAGCATGCTACCCCCTATATTAAAGTAGCCTTACGTGTTGAATTTTCGTTACCTCCTGACCGAAGCATATACGCTTGCCTCGATAGTACTTGGTCCATTCAGTACCGCGTACCGGTTATTGTATAATTTTGACATAGAAGGCATTCACAAACAAATGTATACCAGTAACCAATGCTTGATGCATGTAATTACTTATCTACTTTTCTTGACACTCGCCTTACATATTGTTTTTTATGACATTATTGTAACCAAAAGGGAGTTTAAAGGCGCTCGCCTACCTTTCCATTAATAAAACTGATCTGAGTGAATGATTAACCTGGGCTTTACAGTCTCCATGAAAATGTTGCTTGGCTGTTTTGTTACTAAATGACTTATAATGCATAACCTAGGATTAAGAGGATGAGTGGTTGTTTCCGAGGAAAATGCCTCGGTTGCCGTTTCATGTTTGGAGAAGTTCACCAGCCTAGTCAGTTCCAGCTTGTCCCCCCAGGACATGTTTGTTGGATATGGGATTCGCGACGCTCAACTCAGGGCAACTGGCGAGAACTCGGAGTTACTCTACTACTCGAAACGTAAAGGTGCTACTTTGGCGTTTTAGTTATCTACAGTTTGCGCCAGTCTTGTTAGGAATAAAGGCCCTGGCCGTGTAGCATTCTACGGCGACTAGATGTGCTCCTAACGCGACTTCACGCGATAGGAGTGATGGGACATGTGATTGGATAACTGCGTCACGTCATCGGTGCACTCATTGGTTGCCTCCCCATGGCACGCGCGCGCCAACGCCGCCGTTAATGCGTGAGTGTTGCCTGCGCTCACTTGCGCCCCAGTGGGGGAGGTGGTCTTAGTCCGCCGGAGACTTAACCAATAAAAACTCGTCGCTCGTGTGCAAATTGATGTTTTACAAAAATTGTTGAGTCCCTTTTTTCAGAGGCACAATGTGTGGTAGGAAGTTGGCGTACTTGGCTGCCAGAGGTAAGAGCGCCAATTCAAGGAGGACTGATAATGACTATTTTGGTTAATTTTCCAGCGAATGTCACCTTTTTCAGAGAGTGTAAAGAGGACCGAGGCGTTCCCAGACTTACCAATTTTCCTGACCGACTTCCGTACCTCCACTTTGCACACGGGCGATTCTTTACCGGACTGTGAAGCCAGCTTCTCTCGGATGCGGTGGATGACCAGAACGCCACCGGGTTGCGCCTCGGTTTTCCGGCACTCCTGACGATACCAGACGTTCTTGCGACAACCACAAAGCTTCCGAACGACCCGCGGGGTTGCCTTCTTGCATTCGCAGCCCTCTCGTTGCCATTCCTCAAACTCAACGCGACGGTAGGCCCTGCCCTCGTCTCCTCCACTGCGCACACAGGGACCAGTGAGTATGTTCGAGTCCGGACAGACTTGAGGCGGGGGGGGGGG